GGGCAAGGCAGACAGGAGCAAGAACTGGGTCAAGAACAGGCAGACAGAGACAGAATCATTAATTTTATCTGACATTTTAATTTAATTTTTATTGTTTTTATCGTCCTGCAGGCTCTGATGGAAAATTAATTTGAAGCTAAGTATTTTTTATAAAAATCGTTAGATTACTCTAAAGCAAAATGAGGGAAAATCTGTGTCAATTACAGACATTCTGTTCACGTGAGCAGCTGTCAGTCAGCACCTGTCATCCTCCAGACGCATGACGGAGCGTGTCTGAACCAATCACTTTTGTTGACATTGATCAGCTGACTGATTTAAATACATCTTAACATTCATGAGGTACTTTACATTGACTGTTTATGGTTGTATGTGGGCGTGTAGAGGGCTGAACCTGAGGCGGGATCTTGTCCGCAAACTCTGACGTACGGCTGCGATTTATAAATGAAAGATGCGCAGAAACATGCGTACGTACTGTTTTATAAATCTGAATTTTTTTGGCGTACGCCATTTCCGCCTTTTGGCCGTACGCTCACTTTTAGTATGGTTTCCACGCAATCCTTTATAAATGAGACCCCTGGAGCGTACACACAAAGCTTTCACACTGGATGCTCTTAGGTCACAGGTTAAATTAGAAAGGTTTGATAAGGTTATAGTTTTGATTTTTACAAAACAAAAAAACTCAAGGGTGATGTTTTGAGACTGTGATTTCTGAAGTGCAGTTCTGCGTGGACACAGGGCTGAAATGATCAAAACTTCACATATTTACARAAACTGTTCCCGTGTCTGAGTCTGATGTGGATTGCTGTCATCGTAAAACAACTCCAGTCTTAAACATTTTATAGTGCAGATGCAGTTTTCTAAGCCTTCACATCGCTGTCAGGTTCACGTTAGGTGGATACAGATGTTCTTGCAGGAGTGTCCCAACAGGGCTAGAGTTAGCTGCTGCCGCCACTTGTAGGTAAATATAAAATGAAACATTTTATGCTAAACTGATGCAGTGCAAAGGTTTATAATGTAAGGCAGGGCAATTCAACTAAATCTCTCCGTGGGCCACAGTTACTGCAGGTCAACAGCTCAGGCCGAACATCCAGCAATTAAAGTCATTATGTAAAGTGTTAAAAAAAGTGTTACAAAGATCTGTTACCTTTTGAAATAGTTTATTTTGCTGCATTTAATCATAAATAAAACATACAGAACCCTGTGTAATAGAAGTAGTGATAATAAAACAACAACAAAAACTAAAAGAGCACATTCTGCCTCCTATTTAACACAAATATTATTTTGACATCTCTGACTTGCCAATTTTTTTAAACCAATTTTATTTTCACTTTCATAGTTTTTATCTTCAACTGCTTGTAGTTTTAACTGTCTTGAGTGTTTATAGAAATGTTTTTTACCAGCTTGTAGCCAAGATGTTTCTGTAGATACCAAACATGTCTATGTTTAACTAAAAGAACTTATAGTAATTAAATTAGAAAACTGTGGGTTTGGGATTAAGAGATGAATGAACCAGTTGGTGGGCYGAACTKTGGTCACTCCGGCCTGCGGGCCGCCAGTTGAATAGCCCTGATGTAAGGTTTCATGTTAACTGATCTGAAATTTGAGATTGAAATTGTTTTAAGACGACAACAATTATCTTTGGTCTGCTCAGACTAGCTGTTAGCTCATAGTCGGGTTCGAACTGAGCTGTTTCTCTAAACCGAGGCTGTTCAAAGAGCTGTCCACGTGTAAAATGTGGACAAACTGTGTGTTTCAGGCAATGKGAAGAAGTGCAGCACTAAGAAGATGAGGCCCTCAGACAGACCCAGCAGGAACCTACAAGATGTTCCCATTCATGCTTCGCTGGAGGACATCAAACAGAGAAAAGTGCTGGACCTCAGGAGATGGTAACCTTCCTATACGTTTAAAAATATTAACGTGTTTTTCAAACAGGAAATAATTTCTTCACTCAACTTGGTTTAGTGGAACCAGCAGACATGATTTGGTGGAGTAAATTCAAAAAAGAACTTTTACTTTCYYGATTTATGTTTTATGACTTTCTCTTAAGTACTTTTCTCATCAGTGCACCAGTTTATTTTTTACCAAAGTCATTTTCTGTGAAGGTATTTTTCTTTACTTAGTTTTATTTCCAAAGTACTTTATAGCAGGGGTTCTCAAACTTTTTGGGTCTAGCGACCCCGACAAGTGTGAAAAATTTCCTGGGACCCCCTCATAACCCCATTAGAAATAATTTACTGTCATTTTAACCCCTAAGTACTATGGGAATATTATTTTTTGTTTGGTTTAGTTTGTTTGTTTTTTTAGTGCATTCTTCCCATATTCCATATTCATTTTTTAAAAATAAAATCCAAAATAATAATTTCTTAAAATTTTTTGATGATCCCCAAGATAGGGCTTGTGGACCCCTGGGGGTCCTGGGACCCCAGTTTTAGAACCTCTGCTTTATAGACCTCTGACTTCTATTATCTTATGAAAATTTAGTCCAACACTGAAGATGGATTAAATAACATTTCACTGGATGCCTGTTTTGGACGTGTACATACTGTAGAGCTGATTTATTTCTTCATAACGAGATTTTCCCACATTGTCTAAAACATCRTACTGTAAGACTGAACTTTTTATATAAATATGTTTTCCTTAGAAAACTATCTTATGTGTGACTACAACAGGGTATTGACTCCAAACTAGCTGTGACCTCATAGACACTGTTTATGAGAAATGCAGGAAATAGATTTTATTCAGAATAACCTGTAAAGTCTGAGAAACGCCCAACAGAAGCTGTGGATGAAAACAAGAGACAACAGCTTTACAAAGTCCTCTTGCTCTGAACATTTGGTTTTCCTCTGGTTTTGAGCAGGTTGGATAATTTGGTTCAGACCAAAACGGTTCACTACACCGAACCACTCTAAGACCAAAATAAAGAGTGTGTTTTTGGAAATACCGTTTTAATTTTGATCTTGGGTAGAAATCTGTTTGAACTGGGAGATCAGACCAGATGAGCAGATGGTTTCTGTGAAGTAGTAATTTCCTGTATGGATCTGTGGGTCACCTGGACGGTTCCTCCTGCAGGTACTGCATCAGTCGGCCTCAGTACAAGACTTCCTGTGGGATCTCCTCCCTGGTGTCCTGCTGGAACTTCTTGTACAGCACTCTGGGAGCAGGGAGGTGAGCTAAGTGTTACACAACACTGGATCTGTTTACACTCTCTACATCCTCTGAAGTTTTATCAGACATTTATTCTCCTCAGACAGTCAAGTGGAGCCGAAAAYATACTCCTGCCAAAAAAGTCAGAAGCTTTTTTTTTTATTAGAGCAGGAGATTATCCTGACTGTGTTCAGTGCCTTCTTTTAGCCTTTAGGCCTTTGGCATCGTAACTTTTAACAAATGTTTTCCTCTCAAATTCTCTGCAGAAAGGCCCTGTCACATTAGCTATGTTTACATGTGCAAAATTCTTTGATTGGATTGAAAGGTATTTGGATTAAATAATCTGAATGTGTTGTTTACATGGACATAATCCGATCGTGACGAGTGTTTACATGCACCAGGCTTTTATTCTGAATAGAAGCACTGGCATGCACAGTTGCTAACTTTCCATAAAAAAAAAGAATAAGAAAAAAGTTTTACTTTCATCATGAACATAAACAAACATCTTCTGAGCTCAGAATGGACCTGCGACAGGTTTTAATAATGGTGGAGACGTTACTGCACTCCCTGGTTCAGCTACAGGTGACACGCAGACTTTTTATTTTATTTTTTATTTTTGCAAAGCGGCGCAGGCTGTGTCTTCCTTCTTTATTGAATGAGAAAACAGGAGGAAAGTTAACTACAGCACTGCTGTCCCTCCCTCCCACAAAAGAGCAGAAACTGCTGGATGAAAGTCAGCAGACATGAACAGTCAGGTCAGTTTTCCACAATCAGAATAAAATGATCAGATTAAATGTTTACGTGCACACTGTTCAGATTATCAATCGGCATAAACCACCTCTCTCGTTACGATTACAAATTCATTCGGATCGAGCTGAATCGGGTCAGAATAATCCGAATGTAGTGTTTACATGACGCATTTTTATTCCAAATGACCATTTAATCACTTATGTCCATGTAAACGTAGCTACTGCAACATTTTAGACAACTTATGGAAATGTGAACATGAACACTGAAGATGTCTATGTTGAAGATGGAATAWTAAAATCTACTGGAAGCCTCTTTTGGATGTATACTGTATATACTGTAATACTGACATTTAGACTTAATGTAGCCTATGAGAGTAATTCATTATATTTTCACAAGTTGGCCTAAGTTGTCTAAAACATTATAATGTGACAGGACCTTCATGTTTGATTAATGATTWCTTAGATCCATGTTTGAATCACTTACTGAGATTTAATCAGTCCTGGCTCCACCCCCACCTTTCACAGGCTCATTATATTACATGTTTAACAGATTGAACTCTGGGGATATTTTGTTGTTTATAAAACAAAACCTCACATGTCTCGTCAGTGCAGCAGCTGTTTTCTGATGAGTTTCTTCATGTTTGTTTGTTTGTTTGTTTGTTTGTTTGTTTGTGTAGTCTTCCTCCCATCTCTCAGGAGGAAGCTCTGCACATTCTGGGCTTCCAGCCGCCTTTTGAAGAAATCAAGTTTGGTCCTTTCACCGGCAACGCTACACTGATGAGGTCGGCCACAGCGACACGCTCCTTTAGGTTTTTTTTAATTCGCATTTATGATGAAAATGAATCCCAGCTCTAAAGTGTGYGGTTGTATACTTTCAGGTGGTTCAGACAAATCAACGACAATTTCCGAGTTCGCGGTTGCTCYTACATTTTGTACAAACCTCACGGCAAACACAAGACGGCTGGAGAAACAGGTGAGCCCACCTTCACGGTCACTTGGAACCAGAACAGGTGTGAAAGCTTCTCCCTGCTCCACAGCTGAAGGGGCTCTGATGAAGCTGACTCAGGGTCTGAAGGACGAGTCCATGGCCTACATCTACCACTGTCAGAACCACTACTTCTGCCCCGTGGGCTTCGAGGCCACGCCCCTTAAAGCAGCTAAGGCTTACAGGTAGATCACAGCATTAAAGCTCAGAATTTAAGTTTTAAATCATGGGGAAAATGTCAGAAGCTTTTCAAGTCCAAAAYGATGTTTTTATGAGTTTTCTGTTCATCAAAGTGTTTTTATTGACTAATTCATGAACTACTTGGTAAATATTTATAAATCTTCTCTCTCTTACATGAAGGGGTCCACTGCCCACAAATGAAATGGAACACTGGATCCTAATTGGTGAACCCAGTAGAAAACAYCCAGCTATTCACTGTAAAAAGTAGGCCACTCACCAGTTTTATTTATTTCTGTTGCTACGTCTGTTGTCRAGCTGCTGAACAAGAACTCCTCTGTCCAGGTGGCAGGACATCGTGACTGACCTCAACACACAAAACCCAGAGTACCTGGACATTCGCCACACAGAGAGGGGGATCCAACAACGCAAGACCAAAAAGGTTCCTATGCTTATAATCAGTTCTGTTAATCCGCTAATAGCAGAACTAGCTTCTCATTTGGGGTGTAAATCAGCAGCTTTATCACCATATGTTATTATATTGATTTGTTTGAATGATGCAATGTTTCTCAAAATCACAAAGTCTGTCATGATGCAATATTAATTCAGTTCACAAGTCTGTGATTGATATATCGATCCATGTCAGGCTTATGATGAAGATATAGATCAATGTTTTTGTTTTGCTTTRATGTAATTGAATCATTAATCATTTATTTGATATATCGATGTGGATCAATGTATTGTTACACCCCTACTTCTTATCTAGAGGATTAGCTTTTTTTTGCTAACTTTGGAAAMCGGTAGTGGACTGATCTCTTATTTTTAGGTCCACTAAAAAAATTCAAATTCAATTCAAAAATACTTTATTGATCCCAGAGGGAAATTAGATAATTAGAGAATTGGTTAAACTCCTATTTTTAGGCCATTTATCCCAAGTTAAATAAAAATAATTTCATTTTACGAGCAGTTGTGGATGTTTCAGGCACAGTGTATGTAGAGTCTTTAGAAGATAAACTTCAAACTGAGAA